ACCTACTGAAGTAGTTAGTGCTATGGTGTTTATAACCACAATTTTTTAAGTAAATTGTACAAAAAGTAATTTTTTCATTATTCATTTATTTATTTCAATAACATATTTAAAAACATAAATATGACCGCTTTCATAATGACAAAATAATGTAGTATTAAAATTTATTAAATAATAAAATATTAATTTAAATAATCAGATCAGTGAGTAATTCAATTAATTATTGTTATTTCTGCTGTTAAAATGTTTAAAACTATGTCATTTACTAATTACTAAGCTTTTATAAATAGGTAGGTAGGTAGGTTTTTTGTTGTTAAAATTCCAGTATGCAAATTTTAATATAAAATTATTAAAAAAACTATTGTTAAAATTTACTTTTTACACTATTTACAATTATTTACAAATTAATAAAGGTAGTCGGGATGTTTTGTATATGCCCTTGCATGTGTATTTGTGGTTTTTGGTAGAAAAAGTAGTGAAATTTCTTACAGCAATACAATATAAAAGTTTACTTCATTACCTACCAAAAACCACAAATACAGAATTCAAGAGCATATCAACTGCTAAGTGGAAGATCGACCTATCTCGGCAGCCAGCTCGAAAACATCCTATCTCAAAAAACTTTTCAATTCGTTTTTTAGAATTCGTTTCAAAAACGTCCTATCTCAGCACATTTTCAATACATTTTGAAGTGAGATAGGGCCTTTTTGAACCGAACTCGGAAGCGTTTTTTAATAAAATTCTGAAATAGGGCGTTCTTGAAAAGTTTTTTGAGATAGGGCATTTTCGAACTGGCTGCCGAGGTCGATCTTCCACTCCGCAGTCGATATACAAAAAATCCCGAATAGCCGTATTTAAATAACGTTTTTGAAATTTAGATTGGAAAGTTATTAAATTTTTATGTTACTTTTTTTTAGAGATTAATAATAAGGTAATTAAATTAATTATTGTTAGATTTGTTATTATGTTTAATTTTTTTTTTTATTACAATTTGTTTGTACCTATTGTGGCTTAGGAACACGTGCTTTCTGATTTCCGCAATGAGGTCAATTTTGGGCATACTCACAAACGCATCTGTTGGAAAAATATAAATGCATTACTTCCTGAAATAAGTCAAATAAACAATTAAAACATATTTACCGAAAACTAATTCTATTGTTTTTAGCCCCAGAAGTGGAGCTTTGTTGGCTTTGCCCTCATAATTGTATGAAATGAGTAGAGTGTCGGCAAAAATGCTTCTCAACACGTGTTTCACACAACCCTTAGCACCCTTCAATTTTAAAATTATGTTCAGCTGGAAAAGATTATAAAATTTATAAATACTAGATATGTACATAAATGCAATTATAAATATAAATGTAAATAATAAAATATAATATATGACTACATAAACGAAATATAAATTAACACCAATCGAAAGATCTTATTTAAAATAGTAAAACTGCATCTTTAACTAAAAATCGTCAAAATCTTTCACAGACAAGCAAAATATCATATGTTTACAGAGCGGTAAGTCACAGCAAAAACTGTTATTTAAAAGAAAATATTTAGTTGTTGAAAACAAATTTTTCAAAAGTTTGTGAACAGCGAAAAAGTAATTATATAATAAGAGCGTTCCAGATCGTCTACGATTTGCAGGATTTAGTCCAAAGTTGTTCCCATACGCCACGTTCACATAAGGTTTATCAAAGGCAGAAACAGCTGTTCCTGTAAAACCTGCAAATCCTAGAGTACGGGAACAAGCTAAATATGTATTGTTTTTTAATTATAATATAGTTCTCTATGACGGTAAAATATGTTTTGTTGACATATGCTGTTTTGCGTGTTCTTGAAAGATAGAGTTAAGTGGCTCATAGTACAACAAAAATCCTACAAACCATTTCCATAAATTTTCATGCCCATTTCCCGCTTTTTGATACGATTTGTAAAAATATTTCGAGTATGGAATTTTATAGTCCACTGAATTTTATTATAATAAGATTTAAGTTTTAAGTTTCTACAAATTTGCGGCATTTTTTAGATTTTCTTTTGTGTGATTGAGTTTATTTTTGTATGGGAGAAAGTAAGCCAATCCGTTCACAAAAAAATCGCATTTGTGAAAATTTCAAACTTGCATATTATTATACTAAAAATCAGTGGGCTACAGAATTGCACACTCAAAACATTTTTAAAATTCGTATCAAAAAGCTGGAAAAGTGCATGAAAATTAAATTAAATTTTATCGAATTTTCCTATTATTTGTACAAAGTTTGGAACTTTGGTTTTTACGATTTTTGTTATACATACTATAAACCAAATTTTAATAAAAAAAATTGCATACATATGTATATACGAATAAAAATTAATATGAGTAAAATAAAATGCATATATACAACTAATATGATATATACATACATTTGTATATGTGTATAAAAAACAAAAAAAAAAATTAGCAAAAATTACCATCGCATCGGAGTGTGGTTTGTTTCCCAAAAGATTCTCCAAAGTATTTAACTTTTCCTGGGATGATAGTGGAAGCATACTTTGAAGCAAAGTATGCTCTTTACTAATAGCATCTCCAGTGATTCGGGAAATACTTTGGTGAACTTTCGAGGTCACCACTTTGCACTCTCGCAGTAGCTGCCCTTGAGCTTGAACTTCCGCGCGTTCGGGCATCTGAAAAAAAAATTAAATTATTAAACAATAATTTTAGCATTCATAAATATGTACATTGATATAACCTTTTCGGCCAGAGCATTTGCTATTCCTTCCACCTTTGACTCAACTCTTCCAATGGCGGCCATGACGCCATCAAACATTTCTTTTTGCCTCTCCAGCAGGTAAGACAAGGTAAATTGTTGACCTGTGTTGCTTGTTGTTGGTGTAGTGGCTACACCCTTTTGGTGGTTACTGTTGGCTGGGAGACAAAGCGCTCCTCGTAAGGCAGTGCCACATGAAAGCGCTTTCTATGTAGGGCTACACCTGAAAGCGCAGGAATGTTTGATTAAAAACTATTAAACATATTGTAAATGTATATGTATGTATATTTTCGAAATACCTGTGTTGCTCGTGCGTGGTGGAGAGAGGGCTTCGGTATCTCCCAGGAACAGTGGTGACAAATCCATTGCTTCAAGAGAAGGAAAAAAAAGATTATGCAGAATCGGAACTAAAATAAACTTATTCGTATCAGGAATCCAAAAATAAAAATTCTACCTTCATGTTAAACTGTTACTACTGCGAATTATGACAACTACCAGTGGTTGAGTTCACTACTTCATAGCAGAAGTGGCACGGAAACGTGGATCTGCTATTGCAACTTCTCTACTTGAATAGATGAGAAGCAGTGTCAGAATCGGGAAACACAAGAAGGCCTTTCTTGTTTTAATTAGTGCTATGTTTCGTTGAGGCTATCATAATATTGTTGTATGTGCTATTACTCTGACTACAAATATCACTTCGTTCATATTTTAGTTCTCCTACCTGATCTGTGCCTCAACGAAACATAGAACCAAGTAAAACAAGGAAGGTCCTCGTGTGTTTTCCGATTCTGGCCGTGCTTCTTATCTATTCAAGTAGAGAAGTAGCAATAGCAGAGCAATGTTTCCATTTCCACTGCTGCTATGAAGTAGCAAACCCAATCACTGTTGTTGAACTGTGCACTACACTTTGTAAACTATGGCTTCCAGAATGACCGCATTCACCAGTCCTAAATTTGAAAATATATGCACATAAAAAGGTATCGCATAATCGTAAGAAAGACTGTTTTCCAAAACATATCAGTTTTTAAGCGCACAACCATGAAATTCCAATTTACAACTTGTTGAACTGACTCGTTTTGGAAAACCTCCAAAGGCTGACCTACTACACTTTTTACATATGTAAACACTGCACTTTCTTTTGTTGTTTACATTTGCACATAATTAGCCTGTTCCCGTACTTCACGATTTGCAGGATTTGCAGGTTTTCCGGAACAGCTGTTTTTGCCTTTAATAAGCCTTATGTGAACGTGGCGTACGGGAACGACTTTGGACTAAATCCTGCAAAACCTGCAAATCGTAGACGTTCTGGAACGCACTAAATAAGCCTGTTCCAGGTACTTCACGCTTCGCAGGTTTTTAGAGGAAGCTGTTTCTGTACGCCATAAGGTTTATTAATTGCAAAAACAGCTTTTCTTTTGAAATGTGCAAATCGGGAAGCACCAGGAACATGATTAATGTAGGCAGTTGCAGCAGAAGCAACGTTTATTCGTCGCATGAAAACTTACCGAATAATGTATGCAGCGCTGTTTATTGGTGGCGGCGTTGAAGGTGGTGGATATGCTGGTGTGGAGCCTGACTGGAGGTGGCGTTGATGTTCCGTGGTAGCAGGGTCGAAGATAAATTTAGAATGAAAAACGCAAATTTGTAAATGCAAAATTATCAATTAAAATATACAAATATGTGAATAATTCTAATACATACCTTAATTATATGATTAAATCGCAATGTTTCGGCAATCTAAAAGAAAAAAATTCCATTATAAACAATGCAAATTGTTAAAACGTTCTCTTACCTTCAAATGTTTTTGCAAAATTAACGCTTTTATTTACAGCCTACTGTGATCAAAGATGTCAAACTTTTGCTAAAGTCACAGCCTCTGTGATCAAAGCTGTCAAATTTTGCTTCATTTCCACTTACTCGCTCTAACGCATAAAATTCTTATTACAGTAAAAATTTTTATTAGGTCCGGTTCTCTCACTCAGAATTTTGTTTTGACAGTCGGAAAAATAAATTTGTAAATGTGTGGGTAGCATAGCTAAAAAGTTGCGAGTGTGTGTGTAAATCTGTTGAATTTCAGGGGCAACTGGTTAGCTGTGGCTTGCAGGGTTGTATTATTGAATCATGAATGAATTCTATGCAATAAGTCCTGATCTTTCGTTTGAGGTAACTTAAAACAAAAAGTAAGTAAAAAATAATTGAGAAAAATTACAAACAAATTTTCGTTTAGAGTTTTCACCAGGAAAATGGGGAATTTTTGGAAAATGTATAGAACCGTCGGATAGCCCGTACAAAAATCTATAGAAATCATAGTTTTCGAAATATTTTTCCCATTTTCTGCTGTTTCCCAGCTAGTCGAAAAGTAACTTGTTTTGCACCTCTCAGCGCGCCTGGGACATTTGACGTGAATCGCCCCATATATGTACTTTAAAACTTCATATTTTTTTATCGTTACATGCTAAACATGGTTTTATCTGTACTAAGCGAATTAGTTGCATATTGAAACCGAATATACTAAAATATAATTATTATTATTATATAAATTAGTCTGTTCCAATAGCAGTCCGGTTTACAGGATTTAGTCAGAACTTACAGGAAGTCGTTCCTATTGACACAAAACCTGTAAGTGGGAACACATTTGAGAGAGTAAATGAGCAACTGTTCCTAGTCAGAAGTTACAGGATTTAGTCCGGAGATTTTTTTCCTGTAAGTTCATGAAAAGTGTCAAACGATCAGCTGATTTACATGTGCAAACAAAAACAGAAAGCAGTGAAAGCAAAGAAGCTTATATTTGTTAAAAAATGGAAGTAAACAACGAAATATTTGAATATGTATAAATTTTAATAATTATTTAGTGATATTTCAGCCAAATCGGTGTAGTACCAATGACATGTAAACAAACCGTCTGACGTTTTTACAGGAAATAGTGCTTTTTGCGTTCCTATGCACTTCTGCATCCTGTGGAACTGTCAAACTACAATTTTACTCTCTCAACTGAGAGTAAAAGGAGAACAGATGCAGAAGTGCATAGGAACGCAAAAAGCACTATTTCCTGTAAAAACGTCAG